ATTGTTATTTATGTGTTTACATGTGTATTTAAATCCATCATGAAATATGAAGATAGCTATTACGAACAGTAGGAATGAAGCTCAAAAGTCTATCATCAAATTAGATTTTCTTAATGATGCAAAATAAACAAAGTTACATAGAAATATTTAGATACTTCACTGAAGTTTTGGGAATCTTTATGCAGGAAGCATCCATTTTCCTTACAAATATGTTACAGTGGGCCTAGGTTTACATATCGATTGCTTTTTATCTAAATATTTACATCTGTGAAGGCAGCAAACTAGCATGTCATAATTGGGTTGAGAGAGTGTACATTTTGTTAAAAATCAGACTTTGAGACAACATAGACAATTAACAGATCCCACTTTTGCCACCAAATTTGTGGTGCTCTCCAGACAATGTTTAGGTACAATTCTAGGGTTGTCAGAATGATTTATTTATTTTAACTCCTGACCGGATAGTACTTTGTTTTCTAAAAGTCCAGAATAACAGGACTGGCAGCTCAAAGAAATAGACTTAAAAGTTTCACTTTTTATCCACGATGGAAACATGCGCTAGGTTAGAAACCAACGGAGAAATTTTTGGTGCCTCCAAATAAAACAATAAGTACAAATTTAATTTTACATAAAATAACATAACTGTAAACATTTTACGTCCAAGAACCTTAGTCACTCAAATAAATGTCACAATCCGACGTTATACATTAAAAACGTCAGACGAAATAAACAATGACTTGAATTACAGCGCACAATACATTTAAAATTGTTTATGGTAAAACGGCTGCTTACAAGTGATGAAGGTAATGGAGATAAAAACTTTAGTTATCGACATGAAATATCAATATTGATCCATAATATCTCTTTATCAATGAAAAAAAAATAGCTCGTGTATGTAAATAAGTGGTAAATTAACACATTTATTTAATATTTACAAACTTGGCCACATGTTGAGAACAGGAGTTTTATGAATATTACAAAACCAACTGATAAAAATCAATTTAAATCAAAATTTGTTAAAAATCTTTCAGGTTCAAAGCAGACCATCTCTGAACTTGATATTAAACGGATGCATTGGCAATATCTATATTGTTTTGGAGGACCAGGTCTTTCGGCAATTTAACTGATCCCTTTTTAAGTCAACCTGTTTTTATGCTAGTATTCTCAAGATGCAGAATTTATTATTTTAATATCATGTATAGCCGAATAGGATAACTAATGATTTTCCATCGCTAATTTCCCATAGCAGTAATATTTTTCACTTTAAACTTCACGTTGTGTTAAGTACGCAAATTTGAAATTTTGAAACCGCTGACAAATAGGTTGATACCAAAATTTCATTTGAAATGAGCATTTTTCTAAATCCTAAGATCGTTATAATCATCCTGATTGCAAATACAACCCTTTGCTGGGTCGTTTTTTGAATGACATGAATCATATAAATTGTAAAAAAACAAAAAAAAATTGTTTAAACTAATTTTGATTACGGAATACTCCGTTTACTTGATCAATACAAGCATTTCAAAATGAGTGTGAATAGTCGACAGTTGAAGCTTTCTTTCCTCAAGCACTTGATCCTACCTCTTGTGTTTCCAGGGGTATATATCTTTGTCTCTTCACGATTCGTATTGTATGGGATCTAATTAGAAAATGATCATTATTTTTTCTCTTCACTTTTTCATTGTAATTATTCAAAGAATTGGTACATTTTGCTGTTCTTATTGTATTGTAGGAGTAAATAAGTTATATGAATAAAAGAATGGATAATAAGGAAGCATGGTAACATATTAAGAACTAAGTGCTTCATTTTGAAATTATTTTGTAAAGCTAATTTATCTGGAATGATCAATGTTAGTATTCTCTGCTGTGAAAGGTCCCCATAATATGCGAAGAATATCTCTATTGCTAAGTCAAAACCAAGCTGGTTTTTATAGATGATCGTTGGTATAAAGTATAATTCTTTTAGATAAGGTGTTTTAGAGTACATTGTATCAATATGATTTATCACAATTTACAAGATATTGAAGTTTTTATAACAATAAAACCACCTGCACATTATTATTCTGTGTGTAATACTTGTCAATTTATGTCCCCATAATCATGAAACAGATCAGCCAAGAATGTTTCAAGATTATTTTCTTTTTGTTAGATAATTTGACATGCCTCACCTGAAAGGTGTTTATATAAGCTCATCCTATCAAATCTAATATCCAGATTGTTTTACGGATTTTTTTATTTTGTGCTTTATCAATTACAAAGTTTAAAGCTTAATTTATTATTTATTAACGTTTATGGCAGTACTGGTTTTAACTGCTTTTAATGAGCAATCAGAAAAGACGTCTGCCTAGTCTGAATATGTTGAATGCATTTCCATGTCATTGTCATAAACAATAAAGTAATTGTGGATACATACAGATGACGTTGTCCTGTAATTATTTATAGACTAAAGTGAAAAGAATAGTGCGTACATTAAGGACAGATGCTGCAAACAAACTTTTTAAAAGTGTTATGTAGGTAAGTATAGGTAGAATAAATATATATTAATAAGTTTCATTTTTCATTCAAAGTTCTTCAATAATATCCTAAAATGTGATTTTAAAAATGTAGGTGATGGCAAAAAAGAAGACATTTGAACATCAAAAAAAGTCTGTATTTTCGCATACATTTACACATGCGATTTTTAAAAATATACTTTTTTCTCACGCTTTCCTGTGAAAAAAAAATGCAATTTTTTTTTTCTTTTTTAAAAGGTAAATCTACATCACTCACAAAACAAAATAACAGTTTATTATGGTTTACGGTTTAATCTATCGTGGATAAATATTTGTTTTGTCTATTTTTCAATAGATCTTTATTCATAATAAATATAATAGGGTTATCTTTCTTTGTGTTTGCATATTATCCAAACTGTCAAAGTATCAATTAAAGTTCTTAACAAAAGGATTTTATTTAAAATGAAATACGGCGGCGGATGTGACCGGTCGGCAGGGGATGCTCACTCCTCCATGGCACCTGATCCCACCGCTGATGCTTTGGAGGTCCGTGTTTGCTCAGCTCCTATTTTGTATTGTTTAATGGACTTTTGAGCTTGAATACTGTTCGTTATATCCATATATTTCATAAACAAAAACGCAAAATATTTTCGAGGCCGAAGTTTCAATATAATTATTTTAAAAAGATTAATTCTGCACATGGTAGACCAACCAGTCAGACGTAAATTAGATCGAGGTCGCGTTTAAAAATAACTGTATTCACAAGTGCATTCGCACATAGACACCACGTCATGTGTGGTAATATTCAACAGGTCAATTGAGGTTAAATCAAGGTTAACACCGTCATAACAATGAGATCGACAAGTATTTTTTTTATCTATTTAGGCTAAACAAATCACTCATAGAATGCTTGAATTTTTTTTAACATGAATGGTTTACTTGTGAATGATTTCATAAGAATATATAAATCAAATACTGATATTAAAAATATTGAGGTATCAAATAACTTCATGAAATAAAAATTGAGTAAAAATGAAACATTTTCTGAGTTAAAGATACTCGTATGTAATACACTTGCAAAATCTATGATAGTTGGAAGCATGTAATAAAAGTGATAAATATAACAGACTCTCTCGTATTACTAAAATAGTTGTAATCCAGTATAAAATCAGGTAAAGAAAAGATCAAAACTTCTCCTGGGTTACGGCTCTTGTTTTATGCCTTATGTCACCTGATAGCACAAATACAATACTTATGAAATAGCTTGTGATCTGTTCAAAGAAAACTGAAATGTTGTTATTTCCCTTTAAGGGATAATACCGAAAGATGAGGGTTTTTTTAAATATATATTTGTATGTATTATGTAATTAGCTGTATACACTGCTATGAAACGAACGGCGAGGAAACTAATATATACAACTGATCAATTAATTATTAATTGAATGTAAAACGTGTGAAACTCATACTTCAATTCTATTTCCTGTTATTAAAAAGTGTTATATTTGCAATAAATAAACATTATCATACACAAATGTATCTGTCTGTTACAAGTTCTATAAATAGTACATAATGGTAACATAAACAAGGAACAATGTTGGTAAATTGGCCTACTTCTTAAAATAGATTTGGAATTCCCTACTTCTAAAAGCTAAACTTATTCTAAAGCAAGAGAATTCTTTATTATAAACAAACAAAAACACTCACTTACATTAATTCACTGGAGAAATAAATTTTGTAATTTATAATTAGAATAAGATAATCTTTGAAATTCTGCATGTAAATTCTATGTCCCACATTACATGGAGCAGACAAGTAAGCAAAGAGTTAGGCTTTGAATAAGAATTGGATATTCAAGTAAGAGTCGTATATTGTATTCAAGGAAGTGTTAAACCAGGAGCAAACTGAAATGTTCCTCGTATTTTCTTAAAAAAAAATTTTGTACGATAGCCTGGAGGCAGGGGAGGAAAAAATGAGAAAGGTTATGAAGAAAACAGGATTATGGAGGACAGAAGAAGAGAGATTGAAGATTACTTAATCCCTGTTAATTCCAAACGATTTTATCACCTCCCCCCCCCCCAAATACACATTTATTATTTAATATATTTATATCTTCCCTCTATCAGCTTTTGAAATGAATTTCCACAATTCCACAATTTCATATTACATGCAAATGCTGTTGTTTTCATTTATATATCATGTTTTGGGACAAACACTGGTATCTCGGAGAAAATGCAACGAGCTAGCCTATTGGTAGCTAATTTATCACTGTCATCAATCTCTTTGTATAATTGTACTGTAAGTTTTAAAATCACAATTTTCAGATCTCACAACATATCTCTTCTTTAATACAGGCTAAGAAAGCCAATGTCCATATCCACAAGCGTCTCTTGATGGTTCCACTTTTGAGATTGAACAAGCATGAAGACTCAGAATCCGTCAAATGCATACATTATTTGCAAAAGATTTTAAAAAGGTAACAGTTTCCCAATGTTTTTAACATGTTGCAAATGCCAGGGAAATGAAGATTGAAAAGTGGATTATTTGTAATGGATTCCTCTTCATTGGCGGTATTTTCTGTCATAGAAACCTTGCAACTATAATTGAAAGAAACAAATTGTTTTAAATATAAATATTACTTTAGTTTTGGTGTAAAACTGAAGTGAATTGATTATTCTCTTACCCTTCATTTACACTTTTCAGCAACCCATCACAGCAAATTTCTGTCAAAGACGAATACATCTGTATTCCGCAACATTTAGATTCCTTAGCATTGATAACAGGATAAATGATACCTGGAAATGATTTTCATTTGTGAAACTAGCCGTAAATGATGAACAAATTCTTCAGTCACATCTTGACTATCAAGGTTTCACCATTTAATAGGTTACTAACTGCTCATGAATAACACTCAAAGAAATCATTCGTTCAATTTCTTTGCTTTGGAATCGATATGAGCGATTACGCAGAGTAAATTTTGCTATATAAAGATATAGAAATATATATATTTACGTTTATTCTCCTCCCCACAGATAATTTTTTCACCATTAATTCCAAGCCCACTCTCCTTGTCGTACACATGTTTTTCGTGGCATAATTGTTTTTCCGATATGAATGTTCTTTCTGCAAGTGAAGTTCACTCATGTGAATTATGCATGTATTGGTATTAACACACAGTTAATATTAGTTATCTTATCAAACAAATTCTTTTCAAGATAAGATAAGAAATTGTATATTAAATGATTTTTGTACCATCATTTCCACAATCAATACTCAAAATCTTTATATCGTTGTTTCGATTTTATTTCAGTGTTTTATTATTTTTAAGGTTAAGTTGACACCAGACAGTTTATATCTATACTCTGTAATTTGCATTAGAAGAATTTATTTATTTGGAATTATTGTTTTTAGAGATATAACTCTAATTGGCATGTTTGATTCAAATCATTGAAGTGTTTTAAAAAATCGAGAGCTTAGCTAAGTCTTGGGTATCGCGGATTGGCCAACAATGTCTCGAAAAGAGTTGAGGTAAGCATAGTGTTTTCACCGCTATATTAATCATTTATCTATAATCCTCATACTAACTTATAGTGCTTATCATTTGAAATTAATTTGTCCAAAAGCGCTGATTAAACCATGAAGATAAGACCCGTCAATTACATTATTATGGAAAACAGACAGAATACGTTTTGCAAAAAGATGTAATAAAAAAAAAAATACATAAATATCTCAAAATATATTTTTCATGGAAAGATATCCCAAAGTTTTGAATAATAACCAACAAAAGAAAAATTGCATCATAATACCTCCACAACAATCTACGAGTCTCTGCAGGTTGTCATATTTCCTGTGTATCCCAGAGTCTGTGCAACAAATTTGAGTAGTATGGTCAAACTTCCGCTCCACAAACATCCTATTTCTTATGTACAGACAATTTCCAGTTTTTAACACTGCAACAAATTTAATGTGCGAGCTATATTTCAAAAAATGTCGTAAAAAGCAGATATGAAGTGAAGAGTATCATTCTACTTACCTCTGGCAAATGCTTCTTGGACTCTGGTACCAGCAAAAAGTATAAACAGGAAGCAAATCAAATACTCTTGGTGAATCATAATTCAGGGGACCTATTTTCACGTTGTTATCGATCTAAAAGTTAACTGACTGCTCAATCAATCGAATTTTCTTTTATAGGAATAGAATGTTGATGATGAAATTTGTATATTAGTTCATCGAGTTAATTTTTCTTTTCAAAAAACCCTGTGCTTAATAATAATTCCTTAATAATTTGGGATATTATTGGAATAATGGAAAACATTGTAACTTCCCCAAGACACACTGCAGGAGATTGAAAATATAAAAAAAAGTTGAGTTCATTCCTATTCCCAAGCGCAGTTCATTTACAGATCTGTATCTTGTATTCCATCTTTCTTAATGCACATCAATAAAGCGAAATTAAAATTAAGAAATTCTGACGTAAAACTTACGATCTACAGCCGATGTATGCCTCTCTTTAACGCTTATATGCAATGATATGCTATTCCAACGGTAATTAGCATCTGAGAGCACTACGAGGGTTGTTCGGAAAGTTCATGGACTAGCACCATAAAATTAAAACCGCTTAGGATACGTCAATGAATTTTTTAATGTTTAATTAGCATCACCTTTTTTATTTATATAATAAACTATACATCATTAGTTTCATTTTTTAATAAATTTTTGATGTTTTTGAAAGCAACGGTATGTCCAGGCGGCGCAACCTCGAAGATAACTCAGTGTAACTGAGAGAAAACTCTTTTTTTATATATGAGCATTTGTCATTCAAAAATGCCGTTAATTCACTCGTGTGGTATGAAACAATTGTACTGTAAAATTTGCAATTTTTACCCCATTCTGTAAGTTCTGTGAAATTTTATTGTAAATTTTATATGAAATGTCCAAACAATTATGGGGTTGTAATGACGTCAGAAAGGAGGGTGGGTTTCTTTTTCCAACATTCTATACAGTATCACCCTCTGGAGAAACTGGCACTGACCTAGAAAATATTTATATGGGCTACTGAAAAATAAAATGCATTCAGAGTACTTTTTTTAAACGCCGAAAAAGATTAGAGAGATTAGAGATGTAAAATTTAATGTCGATTTGTAGTAAGGGTGTTCAAAGTTTGTCATGTCGAAAAGTGACGTTTATCATGTGTGATAGATGTTGAACTCTGACAAGCAAATATGCTATTATAATCAAGTGAGGATCTATCAGATCTATTTACAATACTATATGCATTGAAATCAGCTGTTTATGACATTGTAAAATCATATAAACAAGACGGGTTTAAATCTTTACTTAACTCCAAAGAAACTCATCAAGATAAGTGTATGAGGTAGAGAATGCGGACACTGAAAAACAATGACGTCATGAGACTAAATGGCGACAGCGCCGGGTGATCATATAATGTCTTACTTATTTTATGATAATTTGGTAAATATTCAAGGTATCAAGCTAAAATTTTCAACATTTCTTTAACATTTGTTGTTTTATGTTCATTAAAAATTTTGTAAGCATAGACTACATAGCATTAATTTTATCGTATCAGTCCACGAACTTTTCGAACAACCCTCGTATTGTACATTTGACCCCGAAAAGCGATTACGTTGTGTAATAAACAGTTTGCTATTACATGGTTTAGGTAAGAATTTCTCTGCATAATGAAGAACTACCTCAAATTACTGAAATAAAAAATGCAATGTTAATTATTAGTGTAAAGATATGACCCATTATTGAAATTTCTTTCAGTTACCTTCAATAATCTTTCAGAAATCTTACTTTTCAATATTATTATTCCATTTAAAATACAGATTTATCTTAAAATTCGACAGGATATTTTTTCATAAAAATAATATCTTTGAACCTTTTAATATCTTGTAGCCGAATTATATTTAAAGGAATATTCTTAGGGGTAAAAATATGATAAATATAAATCCATTATCAGAAGATTTCTACTACGATTTGAAACAATTTAAACAAAATACATGTATTCGGTTCATCTACAAAATAATCAACGATTTAAAAATCCTGCAATGAACATATCTATTGGGAATTAATAAGAATGTACCCATAGATTACTAATAAATGATAACATTATTAAGAATGTACCTATAGATTACTTATAAATGAATAGGATTCAAGCCATCGGAAAAGAAAGATAACTTTTTTAAAATGTGAATCTGCGTCACACACTTAGTCTATTAATAGCATAGGGAAAATCAAGCACTAAGTAATATTGAATGCTCAAGGTTTTTGGCATTGATCTGAATTTAAAATATTTCACAAAATGCTGAAAATTCTAATTTCTATGCCACATAATTCTATCTTAGTAGTTTTGGTTTAATGTATATATTGCATTTTTTTTCTTTTCTTTATATTTCTAAAAATACAAAGTTGTTAGATGTCAGATTTTTCCCGTAACAGCATTATTCTATAATTTAAAAAAAAAAAAAAAGAGAGAGACACACTGAGTATTTCACGATCTACTTCGTATTTTGTGGTACAAAATATTGGGGAAAAAAAGGAACTCGGTTACGGAAAAGGGTTGGTACGCAAAGTAAACTAACATTTACAGATCAAAGCAGGTTTGGCTATTTGTTCAGTAAGGTTAGAGAAATGGGGTTCTCTTACTTTCCTAACACTACCACCTCTCTCCTTCTGTTGCATTTCTTCCCAATTTTCAATATGCTGTCCGTGAAACAAAAGAAGACAGTGAAATACTTAGTGTTTCAAAGTATCACCCTTTTTGAGATTCTTTGATAGTACAGATCTACAATAGGTTTTCTGTTTTCAAAAGCACCAATTTTGAACACTAGCAATCGACAGGAAGTATACAAGGTAAAAGGTATGTTTTTTATGAAAACGTCACATTTCGTAAGAAAGTACCAAGTAATGTTCTTTGATATGGAATTGATTTAGATTATAAATATTTTATTTTAAAATATATTTTATAAAATATATCAGTAAAAAATCTCAATAAATTTTGGGAACACTTTATTACACATGGATATCTTTGAACTATTCCATTGGTAAAGTATCATTCTTTCAATTTAAACTAATCAAGTGTTAAGTAAACCATCAACACTCACTTCATTTTCAAAGCATACAACATGGTTGTTTCACACAAATTAAGGTCACATTCTTCTAATAATAATTTTTAACATTTTCTTACTTAAGAACGACAAAATATCCCTGAGATGTATTTCATATCTCATGTCAAGGGTGCATGTCCTTTAGAATTATTAACAAAAGTTTTCAAAGTTGATGTTTTAAGCGGAGTTTATCAATAAATGATATGGTACGATATAACAAATATGTGATTCTACCGTAGATATTTGCAAATTGATTTATTCGAGCTTTCTTTGATACTATTTGGTTGAAATTTTAAAATTGACTTCTTAGAGGTGAGTATTATTTTATAATTACTTTGTTCATTTACCATTCTCGTCTTGGTTCTGTCGAAATGCAGTTCTGAAAAGGGACACAGCTGCGGATAGAAACCATATCAAAAGGTAGGATAATGAAGTATTGTTTATTTTTAAAAATGGTAAATTGTTACCATTTCGAGGAAATTTCTTTTACATTTACGGTTTGAAACTTTGTAATTTTGCAGTCGAAAGGAATGCCCTTGATGCCTGATTTCAGAGGTTAATCTGAAAAAGTGCCTTTTAACATAGAAAGCAGTCAAACAGACGAGAAATACTAGTATCATCTTGCACTACGTTGTCATGTAAATGTACAGAAAATACTAGTTACAGGAGCTTACTTGTCTAGTTGAGGGGTAAAAGTCGCCCATACTCAAGACAGAATCTTCAAGAATTTAGCATTGCTGGAAATAATTGCAAGAGTCAAAGAAAAGGATTGTAAAATGAAACATGATATCCTTAATTCAGTCATACAACAATATATGCCATTAAAGGGTTTTTATCAGGTCTCAATTTTTTTTTAATATGACAAAGTTTACATGTTATTAAAATCATATATTTAAAAATCTTTGCTAGAAAATTAATATTGTTGATGCTCCAGCGATTCAAAGTTTGAATTTCTCAATATGCATATTTTGATCGCCGATGTTATGCGCCATTGCTCTGACGTCATAATGTGTCAATCCTGGTCAAGCAAATTTCGTGTATTGTGTATACAAAACGGCTCATTTGTTGTGTCTTTTAAACTTGTTAGTAAATAAATAAGTGATAATTGGATACTTGACAGCTAGTATGGTATAATTTGTGGCTCTAGGATGCCCAAATGCGCACAAGAAAGGTTTAAGGAAGACTTTTTTCACATTTCCTGGACTTGGTCGAGAAGTGAAAGGGGGCCTTTTTTCTGCAAACGCGAGGGCTTTGTCTCCAATCAGAACAATCGTTTATGCCCGATCACAATTTTTTCTGTACTATAAAACATTTTAAGGACATGGTACCTTTATAAAACGGAAAAAAAATACCCAACACGTATTTATAATGTCGCACAGTGCCTAGAACATGCTAGTAGGAATGTTGTGAACTTCGTAATGGCGTAAGGCGCCATTGAACAGTGTTGAAGAAATGTTATTTCTAGAACATGATATTCACTGAAACAGATAGAAGATATACAGGATTTATTTAGATATACAGGATTTATTTATATATAGTTTATTAAAATAATGAAACGGTTGGATTTAAAATTCTCATATTTATAAATATTTACGAAGTCCAACTTTATTCGCTCTATTTAGTCAGAGGTCCGGAGTTGTCAACGGCTTCGTCTTCGGTGTCCTCTCCTATATTGTCGGCATATTTTCTTGGTTTTTTCTCTCTGCTAGACTTTTTAGAAAAGATATATAAAAAATTGACCGTTCATAACTAAAAGAATATCGTCGATGTCAATATTTCCACCGACCTTTTTGTGTAGTGTATATTATTTAATGTCAAAATCTATTTGATATATTTTTTTACGATAAGGTTTTCTGCTTTACGAGTTCTAACTGACCATTGACATCTATGACGTTCCAGTACCACGTGACCCCTATCTAATTAGTGGGGATTTTTATTTTGAGAACTCTATATAACGGGCATTTTATTAATTATGACTGTTT